CAATGGAAGTCTATGGGAAGAAAAGTCAAGTGTGACCACAGCTTTACTGGGCTTTCTGGAAACATCCATGCAGGTGTGTTGAGGCAAGTTGGAGCTAAAATCTGCAGGACACAACTCTCTAACCATTAGGCCCACTTCCCCCTTCAAACCCGTCATGTGATTGAATAAAGTGAGATTCAGCCTCAGACGGGGTTGACATACTTAAAGATAGTTGGGTATAATATTCCATCCCCTTGTGAAAGCTGTTCAATCCCAAATAGAGTTCTTTCCATGTCTTAAATGGTACAGTTCTCAACCAATCACAGTATCCTCTTTGGGAAAACCAAACACTTCCTACACAGATTAAAGCCTCGTGTCTTTTTGAGTAAGGTGCTACAAGCTTGGCACACTTTTTTGTACATAAGTTTATTTTCTTAATCATTTTAAATCTTATATTATCAGTAAAACCTACTCTTGATGCTCAGTGAAATGGTCTGAGCTCTGATATGTGAGCTGAGATCAAGTGAGCAGATAAACTAACAACCAGAAACCAGCAGCCGATAACAGAGCAGAAGACACAGAAGAAGAGCAGAGACGAAATCAACCGAGATTGAGAACAGTCTTCTGCCGTGAGCACTGCGCTGTGGAAATCTCCTGAATATACCGAGGTAGAGTTTCAATTGAATTGAAGTAATTAAAGATGAACTGAATGTAACACAGACTAGAATGCAGGAATAATTTCATTTTACTTTACACTCACTCATAGATTTACTTGTTTACAGGTCAATATCTTAAACTGGAAAATGGTTTATCAAGTTGAGTGGATGATAAAACCTGCCCATTTGGAGATCAGACTCCTCATCTTCATGATCATCGGTGTGTCTGCAGGTCTACCAGCTCTTGTTTGGTCTGTCGGTGAACTGATTGAGCACAGAAGGAATGGACACCGTATTTCAGCCTTCATCATCCTCCTCCTCCTCACTGACTTCACTGAGCTTTACTTGAGTCCCTACATACTGATCAAAGATCTCGTACATGACCTGACTAAAGGTTGGACATGTTGGGTTTTATGGTCTTTATGGTGGTCTTCAAGAGTGTGTGGTCTCCTCCTGAATCAGCTGGTGGCGCTAGAGGGGATTCTCTCAGTCAGATATCCGCTGTACACCGCTGCTGTTTTCTCCTCACGCTGGTTCAGACTCTTCTATGTAGTTGTGTTTGTCTGTTTAGTTATCAGCATGCTTTTATTACGAGAATTATCATTTCTGTATTTTTTTATACCTGTTTCTGCATTCCTCGGGTCTGTGATCACGTGGATAATCTCTTGTGGAGTTTCAGATTCTACTGATCCTCACTCTCACAGTTCCAGGAAGACAGATCACCATATTTCAGTTATTTTCATGTTCACTCTGCTGATGTTTTATCTGCCCTATATTTCAATTTATATATTAGAGTTTTTGGGTTATTGGGATTTTAGGGAGTCTTCAAATATTCTCACCTTTTTTCATATTCCTTGGCTCCTGGTGAGGTTGAGACTGATCTCAGACCCTCTCCTGTGTGTGCTGGTCTGCAGGCAGAATCTCAGAGTTGAAACACCACAAACCCATGACGAAACCAGCGTAGTCTGAGCAGATCTGGTAGGATCATGACTTTATGAGTGTTGTGAATGTATGATGCTCTGTATGGTTTGGTTATTTGTTGGTTCTTTTCTACATCACGAGATTTGCTTTTGTGTTTTCATGGTTTTCTGTTATTGAATGCTCTCTTATTAAACACAGCTTATTAAAAAGTCCAATCTTGTCTTTGAGTGATCGGTCGGGACAAATAGGATCTTCATTTGTGGTAATCCAATCCATACTTTTATACATTTAACCTTTTGTAGTATTTTATTTTCATTGGTTTACATTAGGGCAGCACGGTGGCTCAGTGGTTAGCACTGTCGCCTCACAGCAAGAAGTTCGCTAGTTCGAGTCTCGGCTGGGTCAGTTGGTGTTTCTGTGTGGAGTTTGCATGTTCTCTCTGTGTTGGTGTGGGTTTCCTCCGGGTGCTCCGATTTCCCTCACAATCCAAACACATGCGCTATATGGGGAACTGATCAACTACACTGGCTTTAGTGAATGAATGTGTATGAGTGTTTTTCAGTACTGGGTTGCAGCTGGATGTGTAAAACATATACTGGATAAGTAGGCAGTTCATTTAACTGTGACAACACCCGATGATTAAGAGACCAAGCTGAAAGAAAATGAATGGATGGTTTGCATTATTGTTATGATGACACAACCCCAAATGAGAAAAGTTGGGACAGTATGAAAAACGCAAATAAATAAAGTAGTGATTGTTCTGTCTTATCCAGACTTTTTACATTGAGTTAGTGTTATTCTGGTATTTAGCGACCTCTTCTAGTTATACATGGGTATTACATTTTATGTTATAGTCCTTATTTCATGACATCATAAATGTGAGCCTATGCATTCAGACGCCGCATGGAAGAGCACACGGCTGTTGTTTCATTTGCTCCCTTATACAAGTTGTACTGAAGGCACATTCGGTATGTAGACATTATTTTATCATAATTTGACTTATATTTGTTTATGCTTACGCTATAAGCATGTTATTATGCATGCAAGATGTTTATTGTGTTCTTTATTTTGGTCAATTGCAATATGTGACTACATGTATGATTCAGCTAAGTGCGTAAACAGTGATCTATTGTGCATAGAGCGCCGATTGTGCTTGTTTTATTGACATATTATTGATCCGGCGTGCTTACCATTCTGTATTTTATATGTTTTGCAGTTTTACGTTACTCCATAATCTACAGTAAAAGGTTCAAACTTATGCCTTGAGTCTGTTGTCATTGGAAGACGTTATCTCTCTGTTGAATCAAGCAAGGCGTTTGATATAAGGGGCAGAACTATGGAACAAAATCAATGCCAAAAGTCTTGAATTAAAAAGCTTGTTGAATATCACAAACTGAAAACAATAATACACCGTAGTAACAAGTTCTTGCATTTTAATGACTTGAATTCCAGGGTTTGTATTTTTAGGTCCTGAAATTTAACATATCTGTTTATTTAAGCTGTGAATATTTCAACGAAAAATATTTCAAACACGTTTTCATACTTAAAAATTCAATAATTCTTATTCAATTTTCAGATTTCACTTACAAAATATTCAATACCTTTAAAAATACGATGTATAATATTCAAAAGGTCATTTTCAGTTCATTTTATTTCAGTTCTAATATTCGCTTCCATAAATTCAGTGGATCAAATTCGACTGTTAAAATTCAACATTACATCCGGGAACTGCAGGAGAAGCAATAGATTGCAGAGTGAAGATCGCCAGCTGCTCTAGCTTTCACCAGCAGGTAGAGATGGAATAATGTAAGTTCTCGCCTGTTTACTGGGTTAAAAATCTTACATTATTCCATCTCCATTTAAATTTCACGACCTAAAAATACAAACCCTGTAATTCAAGTCATTAAAATGCAAGAACTTGTTAATACGGTGTATTATTGTTTTCAGTTTGTGATATTCAACAAGTTTTTTAATTCGAGACTTTTGGCATTGATTTTGTTCCATACAGAACAGTGATTTCCAAATTTACTTTGTCTTGTATTATTCCATTGCAGACAACACAACAAACATTATTTAATGTGTTCCACATGATTATTTTTTTAATAAACAGGTATTTCAGTTTTGGTTCTTGCAACTCATTACAAAAGAGTTGTATCTGTAAAGCATTTAGCACTTTGTAATGTTGCCGTTACTTTTCACAACACTTACAGATATTTATGGACTGAAGACAGCAAGTGATGACGTGTTTCAGGGGTAATTTTGTCCCATTCTTCCTGCAAACAGGTCTTAAGGTGGGCAACAGTACGGGACTTTATTATTGAATTTCGCACTTCAAAACGCACCACACATTCTCTGTTAGAACCAGGTCGGGACTGCAGGCAGGCCAGTTAAATACCTGTCTCTTCTTCCTCCTCAGCAGGACTCTGTAATGTGTGCAGAATGTCGTTCAGCATTGTCTTGTTGAAATATTCATGGACGTCCCTGGAGAAGAAGGCAGCATATTGTTCTCCAAAATCTCAATGTGCTTTTCAGCATTAAGAAGTGAAGTTACCTTTGCCAAGGGCACTGACACAACCCCATACCATGACAGACCCTGGCGTTTGGACTTGTGGCTGGTAACAGTCTGGATGATTCTTTTCTTCTTTGGTCCGGAGCACACAATGTCCATTTCTCCCTAAACATACCTGAAATACTGATTCATCTGACTATGGTACATGTTTCCACTGTGTGATGATCCATCCTAGACACCTCTGAGCCCAGAGAAGTCGACGGCGATTCTGGACACTGTTAACATAGGGCTTCAGTTTGGCACAGTACAGTTATAACTGGCATTTGCGGATGTAACTCAGATTCAAGAATTCACACTTAGCTCATGATTTACACAGAACTTGGCATGCTGTCCCAGGAGAGAGCACTGAGCTCAAGGGATCCCCGGGCCTAGGGCTCCCTCCATTTCGCAGGGCGAGGGGAGATTGAGCTTAGGTCACTCTCAAAACTCCCCTGCTGCTAAGACTAAAGCGAACTTACCTGAGAGTAAGGCATTTAGAAAAAAGATTTAGGCTTATTTTGTTTATAATATAGGGCATATTTTGATGGTGGGAGGGAACCCGGGGGAAACCCACAGGGAGAACATGCAAACTCTGCAAAGAAATACCAGATGTGGCCCAGTGAGGACCTGGCGCCATTGGTATTCTTGCTGTGAGGCAACAGTGCTAGTCACTGCACCACCGTGCCGCCCATTCTGGATAATTCTTCCAGACGAAGATAGTTGTGGAAAGGAAATGAGGATACATATAGTGACTTGGGATCCTTTGATTGGAGGATCATGATTAGCTCCTCTCGAATTTAGTTTAACATTAAACTTCACATTGTGCTACTTGACAAAGGTTTGCCAAAGTAAATGTAAAAGACTGGTTATAAGTTAAAGTAAACAGAGACTGGCTGTTGTGATAATGTTTTATTCCCATAAAACAAGGACTGCAGTAAATAATAAAGTGTTGATTATTTTCTTTACTTAATTAACTTTATTTTACAATCTGCAGTTGATTGTATTTACATGTCATAAAGGAGAAAACCATTAAAGACAGTGACGTTGCTTCCATCCCATATCCATTTGTTCTTGATGAGATTGATATATAACTGATCGCCTTTCTGTAACTGCAGCGTTATGCCATTGCCTCCGTTCTCTGCCGGACCTTTTTTCTTGTGATGGGCTGTCACTGTTACCCACTCTCCATTTTTATGCAAGGCCAGCTCTGTTCCATGAGAAGTCGAACAATGGTAGAAGAAACTGAAGTAGTACACTCCCTTCACCGGCGCTGTGAAAATACCTGCAAAAAAAAATAAAACAGTTCCCCCAATTAACCAACTCAGACTTGTTATAGATATGTACCCCTGTATGCATTTCTGGAGAGAGTGACATATGTCCAAGGAGATACCTTTTTTGGCAGTTTTTCTTTTCTCGAATCCACCAGAGGGCGCTGTGTACGCATTTTAGATCTGAAATTTCTCTCGCAAGTGCCATTATCACCTGCTGTTCTCACGTAACTCCATCAGAGGCAGCTGTCGACTGACTGACTGATATCCCCACCCACCACCCTCCCTAAACCCAACCGATAGTGTTTACAAAAGCAATCTAGAAAAAAAGAAAACCCTCGCGGCTGCCTGGATTTGACCATGTTTTCAGATCTTACCTTGTTTTTTACTTGTTTATTTTATTTCTTTGCCTTTTGTTGCACCTGCTTTCTGAAACCTGAACCCTGTTGTCGCCGTCAACTCTGCTCTATTACAAGATACACCAAATTAAAAACTTGGACAAAATCTTAAACATTCTGTGTGGAGTGAGTGTGATCTGCTCTGCTGGAGAAGGTAATGTCCAGGTCAGAGAGTGAGGCTCAGGATGGGTGACTGGGACAGTTGAACAACTGGTTTCCTAGCTGATCATCTTCTCAGATTCATTCATTCATTCACTTTTCGGCTTAATCCCTTTATTAATCCAGGGTCGCCACAGCGGAATGAACTGCCAACTTATCCAGCACATGTCTTACGCAGGGGATGCCCTTCCAGCTGCAACCCATCTCCGGGAAACATCCAGACAGACTCATTCACGCACATACACTACAGACAACTTAGCCTACACACTTGACAGGAGCACCCAGAGGAAACCCATGCGAACGCGGGGAGAACATGCAAACTCCACACAGAAACGCCAACTGACCCAGCCGAGGCTCAAACCAGCGACCTTCTTGCTGTGAGTCGACAGCACTACCTACTGCGCCACTACGTATCTTCTCAGATTGGAAAGTTTATTGTTTTAGTGCCTGCAATTCTCGTGGCCGTGCCTTGTGGATTTTCCTAACAGTTCCTCAGGATTTAATATTATGGAGGGATAAATCCATCCTTACACCAGAGATGTATTGACCTTATTCTAAAATGCGGAAGTGCGCCTGTTTTCGCGATTGTCTTAGAACTTCCGATTTAGTCGCCTATGGGAGAAATGACTAGGAATAATAAACGGCAGAAAATGGCCAAACTACTTGCTCAACAAACAAATGTTTGCATGACTATACAGACCAAGTAGCATATTATAATAAGAAAATATTAAATTGCAACATCAAGCAGCGTAACGAGCAGTTGTTAACGTCAAAAAATGAATGGAAGTGAATGTGACCGGAAGTCACGAGACAAAAAGATTCAAATGGCAGCGCCCGCTCGACAGCTGAGAATAAGGTGAATAGAGCGTTACGTATTCACAATTAGCCTGTGTTACATTTAACAGTTGTTCATATGGCTTATTATTTCAGAATGGCACAAATGTGCATTACCTGTGTTCTTGTTGTAGGCGTTACCAATGTTGATGAAGGCATCTTTGTAGACCAATGTTACATCTGTGTCAAATGGTCCAAAGAAACCACCTGACCCTAATGCAGCTGAAAACGCCACCTTTGGTCTGCCTGCAGAATAAATTCACACACTTTCTTAAAATTATAATGGTTTCTGCTAGCAATGCCAAATAAATGACACATGCAGTATTAAAGCATGCAGGTATCATAACGCATCAGTCTCACCTGTGTGTTCTGCTCGGAGTCCTTCAATCTGAGCTTCGCTGTCGACGAGTCTTGACGTCAGCTCCTGCAGTTTTGATTCGAGAGCGTGGAGTCGTTTCTCTGTGGACTTTAGTTTCTCCTCTGATGCTCCGAGATCCTTTGTTAGTTCTCTGCACATCATCAAAGGACATGTCTGCTGTTTGAAAGTGTCTATTAAGTTTGTTTCTACTCCATTCTGAGCGAAACTCAGACTTGTGTGCAGAAGCAGAAGAATCACAGCCGTAACCCTCATCTTTCACAGTGTCCTGGAGTCTGTGTTTATCTGAATGACACCAGTCTGATGCTTTTATATCATTCAGAGGTTCACATGTGACGGACAAGTTAGCCAACAGCAGACAGAGTTTATTTTGTATCTCAAACATTAATGTTTTCATTACCTTTATACTCAGTTTTTAGCTTTCAGTACACAGAACTTTGGACTTAAACACATTACAGACTGCACCAGACATCTATTTTATTATGTTTGTTTTTCTGCAGACTGCACTTTGCATGTTAAAATGTGAACATTCTGAGGGTCATATGTTTCATGCACTAAGACATCATTTTGTGCTTGGTCCATCTTTCACTTATAAACATAATTAATGTTATATAATAATACCATATACAGCCTAGGCCAGTCTAACAAGGTGAGTTGACCCACTAAACCTTAATGGTAAACCCTTACAATATGCTATTTATACAATATACAATACACTTATGTTTAATAATAAGTGTGTTATTTATAAATAAATTTCCCCTCTGTTGTCTTCCTAGAGTAGAAAATAAGCTAAAATAGCAATATTTAAGTAATAGACTGGTCTAATTGTGATTGGTCTCTACACATGTGTATGTCTCTCCATAATATCAAACCCTAAGAACTGTCTCCATGAGGTGAGACCACGATCATTTTCAGTCACTAAGGCCCTGCTTATATATTTTCGTTTTAAAACGCAGAAGTTTTGCTATGGTTATGCTGTCCATCCAGAGTTTTCGAGAGCCGAACACGAAGAGTTTTGGAAACGCTGGAGAGGCTGTTTTCATTCTAAAACGCTGCTGCTCCGTGTTAGTGTGGATGGGGGAAAACGGAGACATCTGAAAATGGGGACAGTGCTGCAAACATTCGCTTCTCTGGGCTTTTCCTCAATATTAAGTAGCCGACACACACAGTTCAGTCCTGCATCCTCTCCTTGTAAGTTCAGACCTCGCAAGTTTGATATGGAAAACCAGAGGACATGTCAGGTAAATATTCAAAGGGAACTTTATAACCTTATTCACTTCATCCTGGCTATGCTGTTTCTCTATATCTTAACAATAAAATGAAAACATGATATGAAGAACTGCCTATTTTCATTTGATATTAACAACAGACACTAAAAATGTTGAGGCGTCGTGTAGCTGCATATTAATATGAACGTCATCTTCATGCATATTTATAACAGATAACGGAAAACGGAGCCTATAACATTACTGCCTCCTTTCATTTTCATTGAAAATATTAAGCATACCCTCTGTTTTGCTGAATATCAGTGTTAATAATCAATAATGGCCATTATAAAAGTTTAACATACAATATGTTTATACATTAGAGGAAATAAAGGCAAGCGATCAGTCAATATACAGAATGTATGTGGTTCCATTAATTATTAACTTATCTTTGCGCTCAGCCAAAACACGTTACCTGAGAACAAGTAATAGATTCAAAGGACCAAAGTCGGGCAATATGTCAATATAGACAACAAGATAAGTTAAATATCACATTTAACAAATATAGTGAGATTAGATCCAGCGGGAGATCCTTGATGGACAGTCCGACGAGCACAGCTCTCATCTGAGTAGATATGCTGCAGTGCATGCCAGAGTGTGTGTGTGTGTGTGTGTGGTGTAGCCAGTGTGGACGCAGATCATTTTCATTCCAAAACGACGTTTTAAAACTAAAACGTTCTAGTGTAAACGGGGCCTAAAACAATAAACTTTCTGATCTAAGAAGAAGATCAGGAAACTAGCGAATCTATTTAAATCACCCTGAGCCCCCCTTCCTGACCTTTACTTGACCTTCTCCACCAGAGGTGCTCCTTCACGTTTCCACACAGACTGTCCAAGTCTTTTTATTTGGTGTATCTTATGGCTCTATATTCATGTTTGGTATCATTTTAAATGTCTCTGTGGTATCATTTTAAAGGTCTTAATGTCACTGTAATATTTCAGTTTCACTTGTATATGTTGATCTGGGGGTGAGGCAGTGGCGCAGTAGGTAGTGCTGTCGCCTCACAGCAAGAAGGTCGCTGGGTCGATCCTCGGCTCAGTTGCCATTTCTGTGTGGAGTTTGCATGTTCTCCCTTCCTTCGCATGGGTTTCCTCCGGGTGCTCTGGTTTCCCACACAGTCCAAAGACATGCGCTACAGGTGAATTGGGTAGGCTAAATTGTCCGTATTGTATGAGTGTGTGTGTGAATGTGTGTGTGGATGTTTTCCAGAGATGGGTTGCGGCTGGAAGGGCATCCACTGTGTAAAAACTTGATAAGTTGGATAAGTTGACGGTTCATTCCGCTGTGGCGACCTCGGATAAATAAAGGAACTAAGCCGACAAGAAAATGAATGAATGAATGAATGTTGATCTGGTTTTTGGCTTTGATCAAATCTTTGCTGGATGCTCCACCCCAGAGCAAATGGTTCACACCTCAAACTCACAACCAAGCAAGGGTTTTTGTGACGCTTTTGTTGTCCTGAATTTATAGCTGTTTGTTCTGAGTTGAGTATTCAAGGGAAAGGTGCAAAGACGTCATTGAAATCTTGTAGGCAAGATTGCAGCGTTGTGAGTCTCTGAGCTTTTGCATCAGAGATTTATATGCTGTAATGTATTTCATCTATTCTCTTCATCTAACTCCTGGATGTATCTTTGAGTAATTGATGTTGTGCATCTCTGAATTGGCTTTTATTCTTTGATTCTGCAACTGGCATGATACGCTTGTATCTAGAAAAAATAAAGTGTTAAGTTTTAATGGATTCTAAATTCTCCTCAAATCTTTTATATCCAGATTATGTGGAAGCTGGCGCTACATTGATCTATGTACATGATATCCAAACAAAGCACACGACACTGTATGGGGCAGTCGTCACATCAGCACGGAGGCTTTTCGATTTGTGGTTATTGCTGATTTAGCAAATTGTATGGAAATGACTAAATTAATCAAAAGTGACTTGACAAGACAGAAACATCTACTGTAAATACCAGCCACTGCACTCCTAACAAAATAGTGAAGGCTTTAAATTTAATTAATACATATTAAAGCTGTTATTTTGCATGCTATCTTACCTCATGAGACACTTGGCTTTTGAGGCATATTTTTTTCTAGGACATTACATTAATGTTTTCTTCTGTTTGTACATGGAAATACAAATATTGAACAGAGCACATTTTTTTTCCTCATTGCTTCATAATGTATAACTTTTTATATTTGGACCATAGTAAAGCTCAAAGGCTATTTCTCAATATGCGTTCTTGTGTCCTCATAAAATGTCATCAACCGTCGCCAAAGTACTGCTCCAATTCAAAGTTCACATCTTTCCAAGTACACATGAAATTCCCAGCTGTGTACTTGCTCTGGCCTTTGGACAAGGATACATCGAGAGGTGACTTGTGCGAACTTGCGAAGCTCAGGTATCCCAGAATGCATTGCAGCGTAACCAGCAAGCGTGAATAGCGGAGGAGGAAACCCGAATGGTTTTAAAAATACTCCTTTACTGTGTCACAAAATAAAGTTTTAACAGTTTTTCAGGCGAGAATGTAGTTGTTTTAAACTCGAATCGGCCGTTTATTCACAACGATAGCGCTTCTTTAACGATGTGGCTCAGCTTATGCGGACTCCGACTCCCAGCCTGCCAGCGGGAGCTCCGTCATCAGCTACCCCGCCAGAGCAGCTTTACTTCGGCCAGGCCATCTCGGACGTACCGCTGGATCTCATATCTCCGTTGTAGTTAACACAGGATATTTAATACATCTTGTGAATATCTAACGGACAGTTTTTGGTCTTATAAATCTATTATTTGTTCTCAGGTGTATTATTTTGGCAGTGTTATTTTGTTCCTTTTCATAATCGTCTTTAATCATGTTACCGTGTTGTACGCTGTTGTCTTTGTTTACCAAATTGCTTGACCTAATCTTTATTTCTTACCGTGTACGTCTTTATGTCAAGAACTGTTATTATTTAAAGTTAGGTAGATGTAAATCCCTAAGGGTAATAGGAGTGACTGATGTTGTCGGTTTGCACAATCTCAGTTTTGACTTTTATTTTCAAAGTGTCTGCTAGCTATTTTATTTTCAAGGTCTGAAGTGAACTATCTGCTGCCGCTTTCAGTAGTATGGCAATAACTGTAATGTTAAATGATAATTAAACTCACATTAAGCGCATTTAACACTGAATAATGCACATAATCAGTACCTAAGGTGATCGGTGTCATAGTAGTTTATGCTGTTGTTCGGCTGCGATGTCGCGAAAATAAAAAGCATTTATAAAATAGAGATTTCACACATTGCAGATGGTTAGGACAAAAACTTCTCTTAACATGGAAAATATACATAATATTGCATGTCAAGTGTAGTTAGGACACGGTGTTAAGATATACTAAAATGTAAACTAAACCTTCTCGTAGCATTCGTTTTACACACCAAATGCAGCAATATGCAGCTTCAGTAATAGATCTTGCTAATGAGAACTGAAAAAAATGTGTCAGGGTTAAGACATGTACAGTCATTTATTTACACAGTTTTTTCTTCATTCATTTCAAAACAAATGTCTGTACACATGAAAAAAAAAACACTTAAACACAAAAAAACTGTCAAGACCACACCAACCCAACAGGTTATGATATAAATGTATTAAGATTAAAGGCATGTAGACAATATATACAGTAGTTATAGCTGTACAGTCTTTCTCTTGCTCTTTGTATGTGGTGATTTTGTGACTTAATTGTGGTGAATTTAATGCTTCTCTACAGGTTTTTTTGCATTTATAAAGTGTCCTGTCTTAAGGTTGGTCTGTGTGGTGTGATGTGTGCAGGTAATTTGGTTTAAAATTGAGATTTCATTTAACTTTTTTTTAAGCATTATTTGTGGAAAAAATGACATCTTGCTTTACAGTCTTATTTATTTTGCAAACAACTGATATCGTATTGAACAATCAAATAAAGGTAATAATAATAATAGTTCTGATGTAATTTTAATCACATGGCGTTAATAAGAAATCCACTAAATGTAGTCATATTTTTTCCATCCCAGATATGTGTGTAACTGCTGAGCACAATATAGACTTGATCACCCTTCTCCAACAGCAGCGTTAATCCATTACCTCCATTCCGTGTAAAATCTGATTCATTCGAGTTATGTTTTGTTACTGCTACAAGTTTTCCATTTCTATACAAAGTCAGCTCTGTTCTGTGCTTAGTTCCACAATGATAGAAGAAACTAATGTAGTACACTCCTTTTACTGGTGCTGTGAAAATCCCTGTTAAAGAATAAAACAGATCCCCAGTTAACTATTGTACATGTGATTCATTATTTCAGAATGACACAGAATGTAGATTACCTGTATCCTTGTTGTAGGCATCACCAATGTTAATGAAGACTTCTCTGTAGACCAATGTTGAATCTTTATTTAATGGTCCAAGCAAACCACTCGACCCTAATGCAGCTGAAAACGCCACCTTTGGTCTGCCTGAAGAAACATATTCACACATTTTCTTAAAATGATGAAAACAGTCCAATATGAAATAACATCGGTCTCATAAACCACCTCGGTCTCACTTTTGATTTCTTCAATCTGAGTTTGTAGTCGACTCTCTGTGGCCTTTAATTTCTCCTGTAATGCTCCAATATCCTTCAATACTTCTGTGCACATCCTTAAAGGACAGGTCAACTGTTTGGAAATGTCTCCTAAGGTTTTGTCTGCTGCATTCAGGGCGAATACAAGACTGTGTAGAAGAATCACTGCCGTAACCCTCATTCTTAATGTTTTCTTGAAGTGGAGATTACCGAACTCTGCTGGATGTGTTTGTCAGAATGACACCAACCTGATGCTTTTATATCATTTAGTGGTTTACATAATGGACAATTTAGCCAATGGCAGACAGAGTTTTATTTGCTTGTTGCTCAAACATTAATGTTTTCATTACCTTTATGCCTAGTTTTTAGCTGACAGTACACAGAACTTTGGATTTATATACCAGTGGATCTTCCTATATATCTAGTTTGGGAACTGAGCCAAAACAATTAAACTCAAACCCAAAGGAAAATAAGTGGTGATTTTGTATGACAACAAGCTTTAAGGAAAAAGTATCCCAGGCTCAGTGGATATGCTGTATGAGCCCAATGATACATTTTTAAAAACCAAGAAATATCTGCGCACGGGTACATATGGCTGCATTTTGTAAGTAAAACAAATGCTACAGGGCAGTACCACTAAACCTTATCTCCATATGGACAGTTTGTCCAGCTTGACTGGTTTGCTTGGAAGATTGCAATGAACAGTGTCAGACTTGGGACACAGAGTGGACCGGGGTTTGAGACAGGTAAAGGACCTTCCCAGAATCCAGGTAAAATGAAACACCAAAAGAGCAGGGTGACATTGTGCACATGGCTTTCTCTTCCAGTTTGCTTTTGAAAATGATATTGGTCGGGTTTAGGTAAATCTAGGGCCTCCAGTGCATTTGTGAAAACAAAACCTACAAGCTCTGTGAACATTTTCCAATGAACCTGGGTTGGGAAAAAGACACTACAAGCCACCACAAAGTAAAACCAACCAAGACTCATTCTGAAAACGTAGTCCAGTGGACGTTTCTGGAGAACGCGAAATATATCCTTAGAGGTTTGTATTTTGCAGTTTTTGTTTTCGCGAATTCCTGAGAGGCCGCTGTGTGCGATTTTTCGCATCTCAAATGTCTCGCGAGGGCCGTTCGCGCCCGCGATGTTCTCGCGTAAACCCACTAGAGGCCGCTTTCGAAAGGCTATTTGTCTGACTTGCTAAATGATTGACTGGGTGACCAGCCAATCAGATGATCACCCTCCTCCTTCAAGCCCTCATCAAATTTTTACCACGCTTTCAGACTTTCCCACATTCTCACCCTGTTATAAATTGTCCATTTATTTTTTGGATTCTGTTTTTGTAATACCTGATTTCTGAAACCGCTGTTTCCCGGACTCAAACCTGATCGTCAAGGTCAACTCCTCTTTGAGTCTCAAGTCCACCAACGTACATGACGAGCTAACTGGACAAACAGATTGTTGCGGAAAAGCCCTCCACAAGGAGGTGAGCGGTCAACCGGTAATCGGGAAAAGGAACGGCGTCATACTGCCCCATAGCGTTCGCTTACAAAATTAAATGCAGCCATACGTACCTCCGGCTACATATCTCGCGGTCTCCAGAAACGTCCGCGGGACTAAGTTTTCAGATTGAGCATAGTTGAGTAAAACTGACCTGTTGCACTTGGTTATTTGGATATTGTTGTGATAACCAGCAGGATTTCCCTCGTTGGCCACTGGAGAGCACTCCACCTGCCCGTCTTATCCTCCTGGACTACACATACCATCATGCCTTGCATCCACACACTGGTTACAGTTCACCCTTTTCTAACTAAATGTAAATTCAATATGTAAAGTTATTTCTTCATTAGATCATGATAATGTTTAATTTACATATTATTGCACCATTATACACGCACTGGTTTTGTAAGAAATAAGATGTGTGGTGTGATTTAAATATTTTGCTGATGTTTAGAAAAGTTTTAATGGTTAGTCACTTTTGTCAGGTTGTTATTCTATTAAAATTAATTTAAGTTAGAATTAAGTACATAAATTGCTTAAATTCTTAAATGTAAATGTTGTACTGACCAACAAAATAAATTGAGGCTGGTTGTTTTGATGTCGCAAAGTTTTATTTACAACATTCAAGAACTGCATTAGTTTTTGTGGCAGTGAAGTAATAAACAGATTTTTCTAGTGAACTGCATTGTTTATTCGCATATTGTATTTAACTTACATGGCGTTAATAAGAAATCCACTAAACGTAGTGATACTGTTTCCATCCCAGACATATGTGCCTTTGCTAAGCACAATATAGACTTGATCAGCTTTCTCCAACAGCAGCGTTAATCCATTACCTCCATTCCGTGTTAAAATTAAATCAATCCAGTTATGTTTTGTTACTGCTTCAGGATTTCCATTTCTATACAAAGTCAGCTCTGTTCTGAACTTAGTTCCACAATGATAGAAGAAACTGAAGTAGTACACTCCTTTTACTGGTGCTGTGAAAATTCCTGTTAAAGAGTAAAACAGATCCCCAGTTAACTGTTGTACATGTGATTTATTCATTCATTCATTTTCTTTTCGGTTTAGTCCCTTTATTAATCTGGGGTCGCCACAGCGGAATGAACTGCCAATTTATCCAGCAAGTTTTTATGCTGCGGATGCCCTTCCAGCTGCAACCCATCTCAGGGGAAACATCCATACATTCATAGTACTTGTTCAGACTCATATACTACGGACAATTTAGCTTACCCAATTCACCTGTACCGCATGTGTTTGGACTGTGTGGAAAACCGGAGTACCGGAAGGAAACCCACATGAATACAGGGAGAACATGCAAACTCCACACAGAAATGCCAACTGACCCAGCCGAGGCTCAAACCAGTGACCTTCTTGCTGTGAGGCGACAGCACTACCTACTGCACCACTGTGTTGCCTATTTGTGATTATTTCAGAATGACACAGAATGTAGATTACCTGTATCCTTGTTGTAGGCATCACCAATATTAATGTAGACTTCTCTGTAGACCAATGTTGAATCTGTGTCAAAAGGTCCAATGTAACCATCTGACCCTAATGCAGCTGAAAACGCCACTTTTGGAGTGTCTGAAGAACATACATTCACACATAATAAACATAATGCAATGTTAAATCATATAATTCTCATAAACAATAGACTCCAAACTTAGTCCAGGAACGCTGGTGTCCTGCATAGTTTAGCTCCAACTTTCTTCAACACACCTATCTGGAAGTTTCTACAACACCTAGAGAGAGCTTGATAGGCTTGTTCAGGTGTGTCTAATTGGGATTGGAACTAAAATATGCAAGACACCGGCCCTCCAGGACCAAGTTTGGGCGCCCCTGCCATAGACCTTACCTTTGATGTCTTCGATCTGAGATTCACTGTTAGCGACTCTTGATTCAAGAGTTTGGAGTCGACTCTCTGTGGCCTTTAATTTCTCCTGTAATGCTCCAATATCCTTCATTAGTTCTGTGCACATCCTTAAAGGACAGGTCAACTGTTGAACAGTGTCTACTAAGTTGTTATCTATTGCATTCTTGGCGAATATAGGACTTGTGTGCAGAAGCAGCAGAAGAATTACTCCTGTAAGCTTCATTCTTAATGTTTTCCTAAAGTGTACTGTAGATTACTGAAGTCTGTGTTTAAATGACACTAATCTGATGCTTTTATATGATTATTTTCAGAGATTCACATGTGATGGGGAATTTAGCCAATGGCAGACAGTGTTATATTTGATTGTGACTTTCTTTGTTACCTTTGCACTTAGTTATTACCTACCTTAGCTAATATTAACTTGGTTTATCACTACTGTTATTATTAATTTACGATATGATCATAAATGCTGTAGTGGCAGATTACAGCTGCTTCATTTCTCAGTGGCCTGAAATAAACACTGAACTCTGTACTTTAGACTTCATAGCATTGCAGATTGTAGCAACTGCAGTATATTAGATATAAATGAATGCATTTGCTTTTCTGAGGCACTGTTCTTACATTAATATCATTTTAAACTTAGCTCGCATTTTATTAACTGAATCCACAAAACAAAAACCAAGGTAAAGAAATCAAGGCAAGGAAAGTTTATTTCTAAGGCACATTTCATATACAGTGGCATTTCAAGGGGCTTTAGATAAACAGGAATAAAAGAGGCAAGCATTAGAACATAAAAACAAACAATAAAAGTGATTCAAAAGAGATTAAAATGTGTTAATCAGGTTATAAAACAATGAAAAAGAAAAGACAGACATCATAGTGTGACCTTTGTGGGAAGTAGCACACAGCTCATTCAGGAAAGGCACAGCTAAACAGAAGTGTGTTCAGTCCTGATTTGAATTTGAGCACATCTGATCCTTTTTGGAAGCTGATTCCAGCAGCGGGGGATGCTGTAGTTAAACGCTGATTCAACTTGCTTTTACTAACCTCTTGGAATTTCTACATTCTCAGAAATAAAGGTACGCGAGTTGTCACTGGGGTGGTACCTGTCCAAAAGGTACACATTTGTACCAAAAGGTTACATATTAATACCTCAAGGGTAGATGTTAGTACCTAAAACATAAAAAGTGTTCCTCTTAAGTTTTTTAGGTGCTAATATATACTTTTGAGATACCAATATAGACCCTTTAAGTACGAATGTGTACCTTTTAAAAAAGTGTCACCCCAGTGACAGCTCTTTTACCTTTATTTCTGAGAGTGTAGTTTATATGATCGTAAATATTTGAGTGATCTTAGGTTTGTATTCAGTCAGCATATTTGTAATGGATTGAGCTCCTAGGCCATTTAGTGATTTATAGAACAGTAATAATACTTTAAACTCTACTCTGAATGTAACTGGCAGCCAGTGTAAAGACCTGAGGACAGGTGAGATGTGCTCTGATTTCCTGGTTCTGGTCAGAATTCTGGCTGCAGCGTTCTGGATGAGCTGCAACTATCTGACTGTGTTTTGAGAAGGCCAGTGAGGAGTCCATTACAGTAATCCACCCTGCTGCTGATAAAAGCATTAAGTTTCTCTAAGCCCTCACTGGAAACAAAGCATCTAATTCTTACAGTGTTTTTGAGATGATACACTCTCAGAAATAAAGGTACAGGAGCTGTCTCTGAGGCAGTACCTTTTCAAACAGTACATATTTGTACCTAAAGGGTCCATAATGGTACCTTAAAGGTACTTTTTACGTATACAATTGGGCACTAATATGCACCTTTGAGGTACCACTGTAGACTCTTTGGGTACAAATATGTATCTTTTGAAAATGTACTGCTCCAGTGACAGCTCCTGTACCTTTATGTCTGAGAATGTATAGTATGCTGATTTACTGACTGCTTTGACATGACTGTTGAAACTCAGATCTGACTCCAGAGTCACACCAAGATTTTTGACCTTATTTTTTGTGTTTGATCCCTAGAGCCAAGGTACGCATTCACCTTGAGAACCTCATCTCTATTCCCAAACACAATCATTTCAGTTTTCTCTTTGTTTAACTGAAGAATGTTTTGCCACATCCAATTGCTCATTTCATCAATGCACTGGCAGAGGGTGTCAATGCGGCTGTAGTCATTAGGCAGTAAGGCAAGGGTGTCCAAACTCGGTCCTGGAGGGCCGGTGTCCTAGAAAGTTTAGCTCCAACCCTAATCAAACCCACCTGAACCAGCTAAACCAGCTAAGCTCTTACTAGATACACTAGAAACTTCCTTGTAGGTGGGTTAAAACAAGTTGGAGTCAACTTAGCTGGACACTGACCCTCCAGGACCAAGTTTGCACATCCCTGCAGTAAGGCTATGTAGATCTGAGGGTCATCAGCAGAGCTGTGGTAGGAGATTTGGTTCTATCTCATTATTTGGCTCAGAGGGAGCATGTACAGGTAAAAAAAAAAAACCTGTTATACAATAGGAAAAAAATGTCTTGTATAATAAGGGTCAGAAAGTTCTTACCTGTACTTGTCCTGGATGCGGCAACCACTAAAAATTGACAGATTACGCTGACAGCTAATTTCAGCCTCTTGAATCCAAGATCTTGTTCTTTCAGTCACAACCTAAAGCTCTTGACTATTGGTAAGAGTAGGGGCATTGCTAGACATAAAGCTCTACTTTGGGAAATCGTTTGCTTGATTATTAATTTCATATGACATTTTATAGTGAACCCAGACAAGTCTAACATACGCTGGAAACAAGTCTGACTCATGGCTTGTTATTGGTTATTGCTGACCTATTCACCATAATAACCATGGACTAACCATAAACCTGACATTTTCATCACATTACATTTAAAGAGGTGCATACAGTACAAATTTACTTTACATCAGTCTCTTTTCTTAATAATTTTAAGCTTTACAGAATATTATCAGTAAATACTACTCAGAGCTCTGATATGAGAGCTGAGATCAAACCAGCAGATAAACCAACAACCAGAGCACCACCAGCAGCAGATAACAGAGCAGAAGACACAGGAGCAGAGCAGAACTCAGTCATCATTGGGGACGTTGTTCTGCCGTGAACACAGCGCTGTAGAAATCTCCTGAATATATCAAGGTAAGACAGAGCTGTTGTTAGTGTTTGACTGTAAGTCATTAAAGATGAACTGAATGTAACACAGACTAGAATGCAGGAATGTTTTCAGCCGGATGATTCTGACTTGTTGGACTTTTAGCTGCTGTTATGAGCTTTGTGTCTTCTGAAAGCTGCTCAGCATTTATTCAGATTGTCTAATTTATTAATATTGTCTAATTCAGATTGGACTAGTCAGGTTTTTCAGTCTTTATGGTGGTCTTCAAGAGTGTGTGGTCTCCTCCTGAATCAGCTGGTGGCGCTAGAGGGGATTCTCTCAGTCAGATGTCCGCTGTACACTGCTGCTGTTTTCTCCTCACGCTGCTTCAGACTCTTCTACATATTTTATTAAATGAAATATATGACTTGTATCCTTTTTATGTTCTTTGTTTCTGTGGCAACATGGATAATATGTGGAGTCTCAGATTCTCCAGAACGTTACTCTCGCACACACAGTGAAACAGATCCTCATATTTGGGTTATTTTCTAACTCACTCTGCTGGTGTTTTATCTGCCATATATTTTATTTATTTATTTTTAGAGCATTGGAAGACTTCATTTGAGCTTATTTCTATTTCTTATACTCCTTGGCTCCTGGTGAGTGTGAGGCTGATCTCAGACCCTCTCCTGTGTGTGCTGGTCTGCAGACAGAATCCCAGACTTTAAACAACACAAAACCCTCAAGAGACCAGAGCAGTTTAAGTAGATCTGGTTGGATGAACTGGTTGTCATTATATGTAGACTATAAATCTCAGTTTATTAACATCAGTAAAAAGCATTTGCTGTCATAATAACCAGTACAGCTGGAAAGTATATTATTAGCTCATTTCAATAAATAGATTGTATAAAATGTAATTAATTAAATGAATTAAACAGTACCTGTAATCAACATGTATAAATGCAGCATAAATGTTTAATTTAATGTGTCAGTGTATAGTCTGTTTGTTTGTGTGCTATATGATCATCTTAAAGTAATCTTTAATTCCCTCTACAAATAATGATCTGCATGTGCATGTAATGGATTTATATTCTCTAATGTGTTTATTATTTGTTGGTTCTCGACTTTATTAAAATATCTGCTTTTCTGTTTTCATGCTCTTACTGAAGACACTTTGATAATAAAACCTCATTATTATCTTAAATCATCTCTTGTCTTTATAAATGTCACAATCACCAGTGATCCCGGATTCACCTGAACTACAATTCTGTCACCTTATGAACTACAACTCCTATCACACACCTCACACACACCTGTTTCCGATCACCGATGATTACACACACACAGCTGGAGGCTGATCAAAGACTGATTGCACTGACTATATACACTGCTCACATTCCCTCACACATTGCTGAGTCTTGTTATTGCTACGCTATGAAGCGTTTCCTAGTCTAGTCTGTCCGTGTTCCTTGACCCTTTGCCTTGTTTATTATTTTCTGTTGTTTGAATCGACCATTTGACTGTGACTTGACTACACTTCTGTATTGCCCTGTATGTTCCTGTTTGCTCCTGTGATTGACCATTGCCTGTCTGACAATTCTAAGTAAAGCATGTGGATCCTCAGTCCGTTGTAACCCGACTTCCTGGTTACATTGAGTGATCAGTCATGACAATTAAAATCTTTATTTTTGAGAAGTGGAGCTGCAGAGATGGGGAGGTACAAAGGTTTTGGAGGACCAAAGTGGAACTTGAGGTTCAATCAACCAGGATGGATATAACGGCATCTACACTCATGTTAGTCTGTTTCTCCTTACCCTGAGGTCAACCTAATCCTGGACCCGACCAGTAAGGATGAGATCTTGATCTTCAGCCAGATTTGTAAGGCTGCATTTTTTCATCTTTAAAATGTTGTCAAACTTCAACACATGCTATCAATGTCTAATGCAGGAAAAGCGTATTCATGCTTTAATGACCTCTCAGTTAGATTACTGTAATGCATTATTATTTGTTTGCTCTGCAGGCCTAATTAACAAACTCAAAATGCAGCTGCTAGAGTCTTTCTAGAACAAATAAGTATGATCGTATTACTCCAGATCTTCCACTATTGCATTGACTCCCTATTAAACATTGCATAAATGAAGATCTTATACCTACAAAGCCCTGAACGACTGAGCTGCCCAGTATTTGAGGAGCTCCTGGTGTATTACAGATCCTCACCTCCACTACGGACAATGGATTATTCCTAGAATGTCAAAGTCAACTGTTGGCGGTAGATTGTGCTACTCACTGCGTCACTGTCATCGACTCGATCCCAGTCATTCCTCTCGCTGGCCAGCAGAGGTCTCCATCACCGGACTATTGAACACTATATCACCCACAAACCCATTCGGGCAGCTGATTACACTGCATCTGATACTCGTTTCCCCAGCTCACACACACAAATAAAAGCAGCTCTCGCTCTCGCTTCATTGCGAAGTGTTGTTCTGCCCTGCTGACATTACTGAGTGTTATTTATTCTTGCCTGACCTTCTGTTGCCAACGTGGATTGTCCTCAACCTTGTCTTGCCTGTCGCCTGCCTTGTATATCTGACTGTTTTACCAATCTTGATTCTCGCTGCCTACCCCTGACCCATGCCTGCTACTGTTACATACGAATGCCAGCCGCCTGCCTATCGACCTTATA